AGGGACTGAACTATGGTGGAAGCTGTTCGAGTGGAGACAAGGGGTCAGATGCAAAAGATGTTGTAAAGGTCAAAACAGCAAGGTCTGGCAACTAATTAGGTATGAAGAGTGAGGAGTCTAGGATAATGTTGAGTAAAAACCTGAGACTGTGGAAAGATGGTTGAGCTTTCTACAGAAACAGAGAAATTTGAAAGAGGAAATTATGAGTTTAGTTTTACACACAATAAATTTAAGATGCCTCTGGGACACCCAGTTTAAAAAGCCCAATAAGCAGCTAATAATACATGAAGAAAGCTCAGGGGAGAGACTGAGGATTGATCCTAGACATCTGGCAGACATTTACACACTTGGAATATTTCAAAGGCTCCAAAATGAGATGCATATCTATTTAAAAGAGTTCATTCTAATGATGATCCACACAGCAAAAGTTATGTAATTCAGTTAGATGGGTAAACCACAAATTTGGTCCATTATAACAAATCACGAGTAGACATTGCAGATGCATGATGAATTGGTCCCAGAATTGAACACAACATTCCAGAAGAGATGCCTCTGCCCCTCTGCCCTTTCTGTTGGTAAGCTCCTTCCTACAAGTACCCTTTAAGGAAGTGCCAACTATAGGCCATCTACACTCATTTCTCTCTCTAGTCAGCTCCTTACTCTCCGGACTTTTCTACTTCCACTCCCAGAAACTGGCTTATCCTGGAGATTCTTCTACCTCCCCATACCTCCCTCCCCCAGATGGTGAGTACTTTTCTGAAACCACCCTTTGAGGAAGTACCCAGGCCATCCATTCTCACTTCTTCTTCTGCTCAGATCCTGACTCTGGACTTTTTCACCCTATTTCCATATGGTACATCAGCTTCATCCCTTTCCAATTCCCTTGTATGTGTTGCCTTCAACCAGTGTAGGCTCCTTGAGGGGTAGTATGTGTATTTGTATTCTCAACACTTCCCAAGGTGCCTGGCACATATAAATTTTTAGTAATTGTTCTTTATATCTATGTATCTATCTATCTATCTATCCACCCATCCATCCATCTACATATCCACATATATATCTTCTATCATCTATCTAGCTATCTATTTTTCTCCTTAGCTACTGATCTATATGGTCTAACCATGGCAAAGGAAAGGAAGATTATCACCATGCTGGTCTTGAACATTCTGCCAATAGTCTTTGAGCTATCCTAATCACTTAGTAAAATAACCAGTCTACCTGGGACGGTTCTGCTGAGAAGGAGAGGAGAAGGAGTTATCAACTTCTAAAGTCTTTTTCTGATCTCTGATCCTTTTTTGTATTTCCCATTTTAAGTAAATCACTTACTGTCAAATAGGGGAAAAAACACTTTAAGTCTTTGGCGGGGGGTGGGGAGGAATTTTGTTTCTTTCTAAAGGCACTGCCCCCACTTTTCTAACAAGTGAAATACATTTATTTCATTTACAAGCACATATTTCACCTGCCCAAAATTCTATGACTGAAATAGATAATTCTTTCCCTCTCTTTATTATTTTTCCCAGAACAAATAGGCTATTTTGGCAGTGAGCAGAATTACGAGGTATTCTGAAGGCTTAGTAAGAGCAGATCTAAAGAGGGATGGATGATTATTTGTGGAAAGTAAAATGGTGTCTATTTACAGTGATGTTAACAAATACTCAGAATCTTTGCTCTGGCCAAGGCTCTAAGGGCTCCTGGAGAGAAATGCTGCTGGTTGTGGTCTTAGGTTCCCTCCAGAAGCAGCAATTTTCCCACATAATACCTATTCCCCTCAGTGTTTTCATGATAAATTGCCTGCTAAAAATGGAGACAGGGGTAAATAGAGTAGGGGGAAGGAAGAGAGAAAAGAGAAGAAGGAAGAGATAGGAGTAGAATAAAATTATAGACTGAAACATTAAGGCTAAGATGTCTTAAGACCAAGGGTTAATTAGACTGGCAATCAAAAACTGAAACCTTAACAATGTTATTTTCTGTTGCTGCCAACTGTATTTACCATTGTTCTCCTTTCGTGTTTCACTTTCCTCTATATTTTACCCCCAATCTGTCTTTTCCTCATTCCTCTGTCCTTCAAGCAACCAAAACTACTATGGTAATGAACATAATAATAATCACTAGCATTTATGTAGCACTTCAAGGTTTGCAAAGTGCTTTACAAAAATTATCTCATTGGATCCTCAAAACAATCTCGTGAAGTAAGTGTGATTATTATCCTCATTTTACATATGAGGAAACTGAGGCAAACAGGATCACACAGCTACTAAGTATCTGAGGTTAAATTTGAACTTCCTGACTCTGGGAAATTTTGCCACATAGCTGACTCTAAGACAGACAGACAGATACACACACACACACATACACACACACACACAGCCACTGGTCCATGCTAGGGGTGGGGAACCTGCAGCCTCGAGGCCACATGTGGCTCTCTAGGTCCTCAAGTGTGGCCCTTTGATGGACCTAGAGGACCACAGTCAAAGAGATGCACTTGAGGACCTAGAAGCCACATGTGGCCTCGAGGCCGAAGGTTCCTCACCCCTGGTCCATCCAGTCCAGTAGCCTGTCCCTGACTGATACCATGGAACTCTCTGTGAGACAGAATTTTATAAAACAGTGACCACATGATTTTCAACCAGATAAGCCTCAAAGATTTACAGATATAGAGTTAGCTTCTAATTATTCACTGCAGATCGATCCTTTGCAACTCTATCTAAGGCTATTTAATCCATTATATGTCTCTGGAGTTATTCAACTGTGCAGCTGAATGAGCCCATCTTAGACTAAGCAGCTGCTTGCATTCACTGGGATTCCATAAAATCGCCCCAAGACCACCTTCTTTCAGCTTTAATGGGTTAGCTTTCTTTTTATATCCCTGCAGTCAATTAGGAAGTCCAACTTCCAACCTCTATTTCAAATTTATCTATGGATTTTATCATGTGTGATTCCCTTTAGCAGCACAAGTCACCACTATTCAATTTAGAAGTTAAGTTTTGGAGTCTTCTGAGGCACAGAGAGGCTAAGTTACTTGCCCATGGTCACACTTCAGTAAATGTCAGAGAGAGAATTTGAACACGGGTCTTCCTGACTCCAAATTGGGTTATTCGGCTCACTATTCCACACTTCCTCCTCTATCTCCATTAAGATCCCAAAATAAATAAACGAACTGTCCTTCCTGGACAGTTGAACCTACTGGCTCAAAAATTACCTCCATCCTTAAGTCATTTCTGAGGTACAGAAAAATTATTGTTTTTACTGTCATATTTAACTGACCATTGTGTCTAAATGATTGTCTCTAAATCTCACTGAGATAATCTATGCTGTGTTTATAGATCTGGCCACTCATCAAGGATTATTTTTAAATAATTAGCAGCAGCATAGGAGAGTCTGACCTTGCCAATGCTCATCTGAGTGAAAGGGGGGAAATTTGCATATCTTCCTGGTCCTGATTCCTTTATATTTGTATGACTGTTTCAGCAAGTAATTCACATCTATATGGATTTTCCTGTGATAATTAAACAGTCCTGTTAACATCTCAAATTTCCTTTTCAAAATAATTTCCAATTTGTCCCTTCATTTTCACAGCCTCCTCTCAGTATCCAAGGATTACCATTTCTTATATTACCTTGCCACAAATCCTAAAGTAGTATGGAGTAAGCAAATACATATTCATTAAATACAGGGGTCAGCATACTACATTTTAAAATGTAAAAACCATTCTCAGCTTGTGGGCCACACAAAAACAAGCAGTGGGCATAATTCAGTCTGTGAGCCTTAGAGTCTGCTGACTCCTAGTCTAACCAATTTTTAAAATTCCAGAATCATTTAGCCTTGTAAATTTCTACCAATTGTTCAAATTCATTAAATTCCAAACAAATCCTACAGCTGTCAGTCACACAGATAAGATTACTTTTATTAATTAGTTTTAAATAAAATACTTTCAGAAAGCATAGTAACAATAATATTTTTATGTATATTTAACCTCTCATCTAAGAAAATGTCACTTAGCGGTGACTAGTACACCCAAATTTACCTCGAAGACAGAAAATCATAATTAATGAATTTAGGTGGATTCAAGAGGTTATCAAATCCCTTGTTCCTCCTCTGTCTACACCAGACCACATTTGAACAATCCTAGACATATGTTCATCTGAACAATTTTTCAAACTCTTCAGAAAAGACATCCCTTGGTGATTTATTCTGATGAAAATTCTAAGAATGCATAAGAGTCATGAACTGGAGAAATTCTTCAGATAACAAGTATATAAAAGCCAGGGATGACTTCCTGAGAAATGTATGTACCCAGTAGTAGGTCAACCTCTAAGTTACCAACCCCTCACTTCTTACCTGTCCACCCACTAAATAAGACTGCACCCAGCCTTGGACAATCTCCTTGTTTTGTACAGTAGTCAAAACAATGAAATCTCAATATAACAAAATGATTGGGATTTTTTTTTTGGAGTTTACAGTACTTGGAATATATACATATACACACACACACACATACATACACACATACACAAATATATGTACATATATATGTATACGTATATATGCATTTCAAGATGCTGTGCCAATAATAGTAAAAGATTGGCCTATCTCAAACTATACTTATTATAAGTTTAAACAATAGCTAGAATTTATACAGCATGTTAAGGTTTGCAAAGTGCTTTACAAATACTAATTTCTTAAAATATGATTTATTATTACATAAGATAAAAGATTAATTTATTCTATTTCCCCTTTTTCCCTATAAAGGTAATTTATAACTGAATGAATGACTATTTTAATTTAAAGATTTATTGGAGGGTCATTATCATTTTTTGAAGTTAATATATTTTACTAAGTGTGACACTGCATGTTCTTCTGGGCAGCTAAAATTTTTTAACAATATGAGCTCTCGCCAGTTTATAGAAAATGTTTTTTTTCTACATCTAATGACAAAAGAACTATAGAAAATTGGAAACCAAGTTCACTCTCTAAGAAACATTGTGTTTAGTTAATATTACCTCTGTCTGTGCATCCTGACCAATTGTTATCTCACATCCATCCTGACCCTTGCCATTCTGAAAAGCCCAAATTGATACTGAAGCCTTCTCGGTATGTTTCTTCATTCTACTACAAAACAGAGACTTGGTTTTTCCTCTTTTGACATCAGTAGGCAACATCAGGCCATTCACTGTCCAAGTTACTTTCTTCATTAACAACAGATGGTCTAAAAAAAAATGTTTAAGTCAAGTCAATATTTGGCTTCCAAATTAAAAATGGACCCATTATACCTCCCCTCCCCCCTCAGCTTCATCATCTCCACTGGCCAGTCTCCATTTAGATGCTGGTATTCTGAAATGTTACCCCCAGTTTCCCACTAACCGTGACATAAGCTGTAGCAAGCTGTCTGCTCTGATAGCCTGCATAAATCATCATTCCTGAAGGGAACAGATGTTCAGGGTATGAAAGAGTAATACCACAATTTAGTCATAATTAAAATTCACCTTAGCATGCCTCTATCACTGATCAGAGAATCATTTAGCTTCTCACCTGTACAAAAGCTCCTGGTTTCTTTTGCTTTATTCATCTGATTCCTCTTAAGTTTTCTGTTCTTCAAAGCTACATGTCCCTTTTGGTTTAGGAAAGACATTTTTCTTTTTCATAACTTTTCTCCCCTCATCTTTGTTATTTTTAAGAATATGACCTCTAAAAAAAGTATTCACTCTAAAATGGTTTTCATGTGCTAAATGTAAAGATTGTCCTTATCCTCGCAAAGCAGGTACATGCTAGGAAATCCATGGTGAAAGTCAAATTACTTCACTAAAGATTTTTTTAAAAAAAGTTTTTCATTAACTTCATTCAGACCTATATATTTTCGAAGCTCTGTACAGGAACTGAGTGCAGCTAAATCAGCATGTGTGGTTTTGAAAATGTAGAGGTAAGCACATAAGCACCAAATACTACACATTAAATCACTACTGATGTTTCTTCTTTTTTTCCCAAAGGGTTTCATTATAGAGATCATTTGCACCTGAGACATTTATTTTGTTTACACAATCATTTTAGACTAAGTATTCTTTTCAAGAAAAGAGTAAAAATACCTCTCTTTGATCTGTTCTGTATTCATTCCAATGATAGAAGCATACTTCTCTTTACAAGCAGCTGAAAAGGGCTTTATTTATTTAAATGCTAAAATGTCCAAGCACGTCTTTTCTACAGCAACAACCTTAGAAAACCTGTGGCCTCCTTTGACATGAAAATAGTACTTAACAAAATTTGCTCCTAATTAAAATAGAAAACAGGCTTAGCAGTCTAAACAACCTCCATCTCTAAGAACAGGTAAAGGAAAACTGAACTTTCTTTGGTAAATTTTATGGATCAACTGGAATCTCCTTTAGGAATGTATCACGAGCTCCAGGTTCAATCTCCAAACTCACATTTGGACTAGTTCCCCAGAGAAAAGCTACTATTTCTCCCCGTAGGGGTAACACTCAGGGTGTGTGTCTCTTACTCATGAGCCCTGTTTGGTGTGTTCTCCACTATCATTTCACCAGTTGATTTATCCCCAATGTTAAGTCACCAATGAACATCAATTAGATTTTGCAAATGAAAGTATTCACTGAAAAAGTATAGCAAAGATTAAAATATAAATATGTTCTCCCAAGATGTCTGGGACATACTCTCCCAAAAATATGGAAAGAGTCCTGGGCAAAGTGGGCTCAAGATTAGACAATATACATAACAAAAGGGTAACACACAGGCATGTGGAAGTTGTTGGGTTTTTTGCCCCTTCCTTCCTGGAGTACAAAGTTCCCCTTAGGTGGGTGTAATTCCATCCTTGTCTGGAGGACTCATTCTACAAGGATGTGGGTTTCCATGAGTTACAAAGACAAGTACACATGAAACAGTACCGTCTAAGGTTAACTCTCCTCTCCTCGGTATATCTTGTATGTTCTTGTATTTATGTATGTTCTGCTTTATATATGTTGTCCCTATCATCAGAATGTAAGCTCCTTGAAGGCAGGAATTGCTTTTTTTTTTATTGTATCACCAGCAGTTAATACAATGCCTGGTACAGACCAACTGCTTAATCAATGTTTGTTGATTGATTAATTGAAATAACTGTGCCAGGAATAATAAAGTGCTAAAATAAATGGTACAGAGAATGAGCGCTTTAGGAGTTAAAAGAGGCAGGACTTCACTAGAGTCTAAAGTGGTGGGGAGTTTAAGGTGACAGCAGAGTTTAAGGGGAACCAAAAAGAATGAGTAAGATTTTGAGCCTGCCTCTCCTGGTTTTGCTCCCATACCTAGGGGCCTTCCTTGCAAAGAGTGCAGCAGCATCTCCTACTTAGCACAGAGGACTGACTCATCCTAAGCCTTGGAGTGTCCCAGCGAGGCCTTACAACAGGATTTTCAAGAACCAAGGGCAGGCTGGAGAGTGTGGGCACTTGAAGTCATCTATCCCTGAGGGCTCTGGGCCCTGTGTATGGTCCACTCCTTCACAGGGAATAAGTAGCATTTATGAAGCACCTGAAGGTTTACAAAGCTCTTTACAAATGTTATCTCATTTTATCCTCACAACAAACTGACATTTGGTGGGATATGATTACTGACTGGATTATTATAGCTCTCGATTGGCATGCTTTATTCAAGAGGAATAGGGTAAGTAGACTTGGGGTAGCATTGCATAGAAAGAAGGAACCAGAAAGGGGACACATAAAGAGAGTATTTGGATAAAAGACAAAGTAGGGAGAAACAGATGATTTGGGACAAAGAAAAAAATAGATGATTTAGGAAATGGATCAGAAGCTTAGCACAGAAAAAGATAAACAAGTCATGAGAGACTTCAATTATCCAGCCATCTTCTGTACCACTGTTTCTGTCAAAAACAGAGCATCTAATAACTTTTTGACTTGCCTTAGTGATAAGCTCATCTTTCAAAAGGTAGAGGAATCAACAAGGAAATATTCTATTCATTATCAGATTCTCACTAACAGGCAAGGATCAGTTGCTGAGGTGAAAAGGATGGGAACTTTAGGAGGAACTGACCACTCCATCTGCGAATTTAGGATAGAAAATAGAAAAACTAGTTTGACACACACCCCAGATTCAAGGAAAGCAGATTTCAGTGGCTTCAGAGGAAATACAGGCAGGATGCCATGGAGCGAAAAGTTGTAGAAATTTATTTCTTTGTGTTGTCCTCTCTGAGGACGGGGCCTGTCGTACTTTTCCTTGTATCCCCAGGATTTAGCACAGTGCCTGGCACGCAGTGGGTGCTTAATAAATGTTTATCAACTCTGACTCTGTTGTAGGGGAAGGCAGTTCAGGAGGGATGGGAGATGTTCAAGAATTACGAGGAAAAATGGAATTGGTCTGAAGAGACTGATGTGGCTGTACAGGACAGTCAACAACAAATGTAGATTTTAAAAAGAAAAAGACCGAAGATAGAAGCAAGGCCAGGTGTCGGAGAATGAATATAAAAACATGGCACAGACTTGTAAAAACAGTGTCAGGATTGCTAAGGCTCAGAATGAGCTGAGGTTGGTGAAGGAAATGAAAGACAATTGAAACAGGTTTTTAAAAAGTATATTGAGAGAGAAAGGAGAGTCAAAGGACATTTGCTTGTGATAGATGGGACAAAAGCAACTGACGACAGGGAGAAGGCAGATTTGTTCAGTTTGCTGCACTTATGTCTTTTCTACAAAGGAGAATGACCCTTGCACTGGAAAGGACTGAACAAAAATGACTAACAGGGAGTTGAGAACACCTAAGGTGCTTGATGGATTCAAGTCACATGGCCCAGATGAGCTCCATCCTCAGGGGCTGAAAGAACAAGTAGGTGTGATTGCGAGCCGTGGCCGTCGATATTTCAAAGACCCCAGAAAAGATCATACAGAGCTACCACAAGATTAGGAAAGGCCAAATGTCCCAATATCTAAGAAAAGAAGGAGACAGTGACAGAGACAGGGAGAAGGACAGAGACTGCAAACTCCAGGCCAATAAGCTGGACCTCATTCCTTTGGAAAATTCTAGAAAGTATCATGACATCTAGGAGGTTAGGAAGTGGTATGAAGGGTCTGGGTGACTAAAAGACAAGATGAATGCTCACCAATCAGAAGCCCAGATTCCCCAGGAACTCATGGCTCTCTCCTGAGCCCCAGTCTCACATCGCCAACTGACCACTTGACATTTCAAACTACATGTCCCCCAGACATCTCAAACTCAAAATGTCCAAATCAGAACTCATTATTTTCCCACCCAACCCATTCCCAGCTTGCTAGAGTGACTTCAAAAGTGCATGTGAACTGTGTCTCTCTCCAACTGAATAAACTCCAGTATCTCTCTGTTTCTTCTAGCATCAAATCTAAATTCCTCTTTTTTGGCACTTAAAGGCCTTCACAACTTAGTTCTGACCAACTTTTCCAGCCTTGACCAATACTATGGTCTAGCTAAACTGGCCTTCTTACTTATCCTCATATATAGCTCTCCATCTTCTACCTTCATCCCTATCTGTTTCCCATGACTAGAATGCATTCTCTCCTCACCTCTGCCTCTTAGAATGCCTAATTTCCTTCAAGATTCCATTCAAGACCTTCCTTCAATTTCACATGGTGCCCTCCCTGATTCTTCAATTGCTAGTATCCCCCCGTAAATTAACATGTATTTATTTTATATATGCCTATATACAAATCTTCACCAGTTACTTCTAAGCCATTCTACAAGGCAGTTTAAAGACTAGTTATTTGGAATCATCACATGTTCCTCATGGCTTCAATGAGCCAAAGAGCACATTCGAAGGGGCAAACTTCAGTAGCAAAGGGAAAAAAAATTTTAATGGAAAATGAAAAGTCTCAAACTTTCCCCATCTCATCTCAAATCATCTCTTTTTTGAGTATGACTACTATTTCATAACTAGTTCTATATAATGTTATGCCTTGATATTGTCTCAACAGATGTAAACATCCTCAAAGAACCCTTCTGAATCATCCACCTTACTTCCAAATAAAAATTCCAGTTCACCCAATCCATATTTGTCTACTGAAAAAGGCAGCGACTTTGCTTAATCAGACACATCTGTGGCTATGGGAGAACATGAGACAATCATTCCCTGTAAGCACTTGGAGAACTACAGTTATAAGTTCTGATGATCTACAGAGTAAAACAGTAAGACTAAAAATTGAATTTATACTTTCCATATAGCAGTACAACAACTATTTAATTAAGTTG